TTCTTCCAATTTTTTTCTATTTCGACTTTATTTTCTCCCCATTATCCATTTTATTTGCCTTGTTACTATATTACGCTTGAGTCTGTTGACGCTTTCTCTGTTCGTAGTCTTATTAAAATGTTCACTTTCGTCCATCGGCGTTTTGTGACGTTATTTTCGGACATTGTCTTGTCCAGAGAAAATTGCCCAGGGCGAAATGGCTATTTTGGTTTTAGTCTGATTCTCAAATTACAATAGAAAACGCTAAAAAAAATGTGCTCATACCCAGATGTTCAGAACCCTCTCTCTCTCTTCCTCTTTCTCTCTCTCTCTCTCTCTCTCTCGCCACCTCACTGTTATTCATTCCTCACTCTCACTACTTTCTCACTCTCGCCATTTCGCTCTTTTCCCATCCTTCTCTCCAACTAAGACTCTTTCTCTTTCTCCTCCCCTCTCTCTATGTATCTACAAACATGCTCACGGCGCTTAACTTTGTTGGGCACAAGAAAAATTACTTGAATCGAAAGAAATTATTTTGTACACAAAGCTGAAGAATAAACATCAGTCTGGAACACTATATCCACTGATAAAAAAAACAAAAAGACCAAGATAACAGATATCCTTAAACAAAAAATAGAGGCGCACGAGGAACGTAACATAGAAAGAGGATAACAGATGGAGCCAAAGGTTGGTTGATTAGCAACCAATGAATAGCAAATACAAAAGAAGTGACCGGACATATGGAAAGATGATATGTAATGAAGTTTATTGATATTATATTTTAGAGCAGGGCTTCTTTACTTTAGCATTTGACGCACCAAACCCCTTGGGGTGGCTATGTATTCTCAAGCGGACACTAAGCGTCCAGATACATTATAAATGATAATATAAATGTAACAGATGGTAAAACGTTTGAACCCAGATTTGGGGAAGTCTCAATGTTTCGCCTTTACCGTTTTGCCGTAACAATTTTTAACACGCTAAAATTTCCGTATAAACAATATTTTCAGAAATGCGTCGATATTCTGAAATCCTTTTTTTCTCTCATGTTTCAATGTACTTGGATTTCCCACTTTGCATATAGCTATATGTAGTGGACTATGGGATAAACCTTTGAATAATATTCCAATGTTTGTCAGTCCTGAGCATGGCAATAAAAATACATCCGGCAGCAAGGCCTCTGATATATATGTTGTTGTTGTACACATCTAAAGAAATAAGTCGAACAGAATTAACATTTAAATCAACAGGGCGCCATTATGAAGTTGGCGACAACTGATCTGCAGCGAATCTTTATTGACATTCTGATTGGTTAATAAGGGAATTAACTAAGGGAGATAATAAGAATTGTATTTACTCAATACAACACATTTCCTCTCTTGAATAAGTTAGTATTACTAATTAACTTAATGGGATTTAATTTTGTGAACAGAGGTAGACTGACTTCATGTTCGTTTGGCATTATTCTAGCCATATTTTTATGCGATTCTGTAACTGTTATATTCCGTGCTAAGGGAATAAACACATAACACCAGGCGGATACTAGAAGAAAGGTTTATTGTACACAACCACTACAAAATGAAATACAGTACAGTTATACACACAGGTCAATCTAGTAGTGAGTGTCACTAATTGGTCACGTGGTTGTGTCGTCTCTATCACTCTCTCTCTCTCTCTCTCTCTCTCTCTCTCTCTTCGTCCTCGAGTCTCTCGTAGACATTGGACTTTATAGGTACTTACTACCTGTAGTGTAATCATTCATGGGGGGGGTGACTGATTATTCCATTACATCAGTAACACGTTAGTTTGTTGATGATACGACCACTTTTGGTCACAGTTCTGTTAAAATCTGATCGTGGCTCATTTGACAATGGCTGCATAACTGTGTTAATTTCTTTCTTGGTTGGTATTGTTGTGCGTTGGAACTGATGGTCAGCCTCTCTTGATGGTCATATCCTGCCTTCGGTTCATTCTATATTTATTTCCAGCTAGCGTTTACAAGATGCACGTTCTCCGTTAATAATCTTTATTTGCACGACTTATCGAGACTCTATGCTAGCATACATAACACGCAAATGCATGGAGCCCCCAAAGTCTTTTAAGTGCTTAGGTCCCCTATGGGTCTTAATCCGGCGCTGGTCGGGGTGGTAGCTCGTGTTATGGCCCCAGATATGGGCAAATATTTAACCACCGAATAAAAATCCAAACACTATGAAATTATAAAAAATACATATTTATCGTGAAGATGCGAACGATACATTTTTAGATAACAAGATACAATCAATACATATTCATATGATATTATCTGTCTTTATTTCTGAGATGAGGTATTATGTACTCTATTTACATTATTCGGATTATTGTCCTTATCTTTGTTTCCATATTTATTGCAACGTATCGGCCTTTCCGTATCTGTCTATATTTCTAAGATGAGGTATTATGTACACTATTTACATTATTCGGACAGTTGTCCTCATCTTTGTCGCCATATTTGTTACAAAGTTTCGGCCTTTCAGTATCTGTATATATTTCTCAGTTGAGGTATTATGTACACTATTTACATTATTCGAAATTGTCCTCATCTTTGTCGCCATATATTACAAAGTTTCGGCCTTTCAGTCTATATTTTGAGATGAGGTATTATGTACACTATTTACATTATTCGGAAATTGTCCTCATCTTTGTCGCCATATTTATTATAACATTTCGGCCTTTCAGTATCTGTCTATATTTCTGAGATGAGGTATTATGTACACTATTTACATTATTCGGACTATTGTCCTCATCTTTGTTGCCATATTTGTTACAAAGTTTCGGCCTTTCAGTATCTGTATATATTTCTCAGTTGAGTTATTATGTACACTATTTACATTATTCGGAAATTGTCCTCATCTTTGTCGCCATATTTATTACAATGTTTCGGCCTTTCAGTTTCTGTCTATATTTCTGAGATGAGGTATTATGTACACTATTTACATTATTCGGACTGTTATCCTCATCTTTGTCGCCATATTTGTTACAACGTTTCGGCCTTTCAGTATCTGTCTATATTTCTGAGATGAGGTATTATGTACACTATTTACATTATTCGGACTATTGTCGTCATCTTTGTCGCCATATTTATTACAACGTTTCGGGCGTTCTATGCTCCGGCCTTCTTCACTGTGCCATGTGTTCTCAAGGACAGTGGATAAAGGTGTTGGTTCGATCCAGTGCCAGTAAGTTCAATACCCAATTAAGGCAGTGTAGAACTTGGAGAGGGAAATTAACAGGATATAACTGATAACTGACATCCATTAAACATTAAGGATTCAGTTCGACATTCCAACCACCTGAAGAAGGCCGGAGCGTATAACGGCCGAAACGTTGTGATAAATATGGTGACAAAAATGAGGACGAATCATGTAAATAGTGTTCACGCGATACTATTTGCCGTTGCCGTGGTACAATGGGAATTTTTTTTGTTGAAACATAAGAAAGCGTTATATGCTGAAAGACATTGAAACGAGAAGGGTTAATACCAAAAGACGTGTGGGAACAATTAACAATTTAATTTAAACATAAACGACTTGAATTGTATGCCGAGTAGTTTGAACAATGGAAAAATGACCCAGACTTAAGGGGCAATGTTGATTGACATACAGCTGCAAATGCAAGCTGTAAAGCGAAAACCCAATTTTCTTAAGCAACGAACTTGGAGTTAGTTCTCCTGTTTAAAAGTTGATTCAAGAGAGTAGGGGGTGGATCTTTGGACTCGGCACCAAATGTAATCGGGCATCACCCTCACCGGTCGTCCAAGACTTCTAACACCACGGCTGGTCAAGGAAGATCGCTGCGATCTCTGACCTGCCCTATCCCAGGTTTTGATTTAAGTTTGATTATAAGGAGGCCAACTCCGAATCCTCTCGGGTATCTTCAAGTTGGGCTGGTCCAAGCAGGGTGAAGGCATACAGGGGAGAAAAAAACACAGATAAATTGAACAAAAGACATTCGCCTCAACTGGCGAAGTAAGAGAATTAAAATTAACAACAATAAATTTTATATCAAAATGACTAACAATGCATTTCATCTGTAGTTGAAGCCATAAAATTGTGTTCAAAATGTTTAGATTTCGGTATTAAATAACTCGATATATGCCGCTAAACAAAGTCAAAAAACCAACCAAAATCTATTGTTTGTAGTCATAATAACAATTGCTATTATTGATTAAACACAGTTACTATTATTTCACTTTTTTTATCAGTTATTCGAAATCCAAGTTTCAATTATCAAATTCAAACGCATAATGCAAGTTATTATTTACTTTTGCCCTATTTTAAAAATATTTTAGATGCGTTGATCAATGAAATTATAACGGATTAAAAATTGCTTCTTTTTTTTTTTTTTTTCGTTTTATGGAGATATTTCCCCCGGGATGAAATTTTCTTTTGGAATGCGTCCTTGGCCATCCCAATACGTTTACAGATCTCAGTATCGTATTTACCGTCCTCTATCAAACGCTTCCAAGATATTTAACCTTCTGTGTCTGCTTGATTCTAGTGTTCCCGGCCTGCAAATCGCATTTCGGAATCATCCTCTTACTGATGACCATGCATTCTGTTTTCTTGTAGTTTATGCTTAGACCCTTCTTCTCTCCGTCGCTACCTTCTGTGGGAGATTTTGTAATTTCTTTTCTGTGCCTGTCATCAGTACTGTGTCATCTGCGTATCTTATGTTGTTAAGATTGTGGCCGCCAATGCTAAATCCCGGTAGGGTTTCCAATTCTCTCAGAACTGTCTCGCTGTGTAGGTTGAAAAGGTCGGGTGAGAAGATGCATCCTTGCCAATTCTCTCAGAACTGTCTCGCTGTGTAGGTTGAAAAGGTCGGGTGAGAAGATGCATCCTTGCCTTAAGCTCCTTTCTATTTTTGTATATTAGCTGAAGTCGTTAATTATTAAATTAATTAAATTCAAACGCATAATGCCAGTTCTAATTTACTTTTACTCTATTTCAAAAATATTTTAGATGCGTTGATCAATGAAATTAGAACAGATTAAAAATTGCTTCTTTTTTTTTTTTCATTTTATGGAGATATTTCACCCGGGATAAAATCTCGAGGTGAACTTTCGACGAGGTGATCTTTCCCCAAGGTGAACTTTCCCCGAGGTGAACTTTCCCCGAGGTGAACTTTCCTCGAGGTGAACTTTCCCCGAGGTGAACTTTCACCAAGGTGAACTTTCCCCGAGGTGAACTTTCCACAAGGGGAACTTTCCCCGAAGTGAACTTTCCCCGAGGTGAACTTTCCACAAGGGGAACTTTCCCCGAAGTGAACTTTCCCCGAGGTGAACTTTCCACAAGGGGAACTTTCACCGAGGTGAACTTTCCCCGAGGTGAACTTTCACGAGGTGAACTTTCCCCGAGGTGAACTTTCCCCGAGGTGAACTTTCCTTGAGGTGAACTTTCCCTGAGGTGAACTTTCCTCGAGGTGAACTTCCCTGAGGTGAACTTTCCCGAGGTGAACTTTCCCGAAGTGAACTTTCCCGAGGTGAACTTTCCCGAAGTGAACTTTCCCTGAAGTGAACTTTCCCGAAGTGAACTTTCCCTGAGGTGAACTTTCCCCGAAGTGAACTTTCCCGAAGTGAACTTTCCCGAGAGGTGAACTTTCACGAGGTGAACTTTCCCCGAGGTGAACTTTCCCCGAAGTGAACTTTCCCTAAGGTGAACTTTCACCGAGGTGAACTTTCCCCGAAGTGAACTTTCCCCGAGGTGAACTTTCCTCGAGGTGAACTTTCCCCAAGGTGAACTTTCCCCAAAGTGAACTTTCCCCGAGATGAACTTTGCACAAGGTGAACTTTCCCCGAGGTGAACTTTCCCCAAGGTGAACTTTCCCCGAGGTGAACTTTCCCCGAGGTGAATTGACGGCGGTGAACTTACCAAATAAGCTAAAGTCCACATTACTTACCTTATAAAAATTATTCGTTGCCGCTTTATTGTGTAACCTGCCGATCAGTATATCCTGCCACCAAATTTGTATCCTCCATTATCTAACGTAAGGAGAAAAGCAAAAACGAAAGGAGGGATGCCATTTATTGTTGTATTATGATTTTCTTTTTTTAAATTGTAAAGAAATTTGATATAAAATCATAAAAATAGATATTTGAACCCTTTTACTGGTGACCATGCATTCTGTCTTCTGGTAGTTTGTGCTAGGTCCCTTCTTCTCACTCTCCGCTCTAACTTCTCTAGGAGATTTTGTAATTTCTTTTCTGTGTCTGCTACCAGTACTGTATTCATTTGCGTATCTTATGTTGTTAAGATTGTGGCCACCAATGCTAAATCCCAGTAGGGTTTCCAATTCTCTCAGAATTGCCTCCCTGTATAGGTTGAACAGGTCCGGTGAGAAGACGCATCCTTGCCTTATGCCCCTTTCTATTTTTTATATTCTCTGAACTCGTTAATTAATAAATTAATTAAATTAAAACGCATAATGACAGTTCTTATTTACTTTTACCCCATTTAAAACAAAATTTTTAGATGCGTTGATCAATGAAATTAAAATCGATTGAAATTTTTTTATTTTGGTTTCCTTTTACGGAGATCATTTCACCAGGAGAACTCTTTTCGTTGTGAATTGATGGCAGTGAACTTACTGAACATGTCATAATATATATATATATATATATATATATATATATATATATATATATTATTTATTTAAAAATATGATTCCAACTCGCGACATATGAGGTCTCATGTTTCAAAACAAGAGCCGAAAACTTCAATATAATTATTTGAATTAAATTGAGTTAAAGTAAGCTCTGTTCCATCTTCAAGCGAAATTTTTGAATATTGAAGTTTTCGGCTCTTCTTTTGAAACATGAGTCCTCTTATGTCGCGAGTTGGAATCATATTTTTAAATAAATAATTATATTTATGCTCTACTTTTGTATCGATCACTATTTTTTAAAATAATAACAAAAATACTAAGGAACTTTGGATTATTTACCTAACCAGTTCTTTCCTATTTTTATATATTTTTCACACACACACACACACACATATATATATATATATATGTGTGTGTGTGTGTGTGTGATGGTTAAGTTATCAACATTTTATATTTTTAATTTTGCGCATGCGCTTTGTTTGTTTTGATTTTGTCGGCTGCACAATATAGTAGTGTCAGTTGACAGTGCTAAAAGTATTTGGAAAGAGTTGGGTGAGACTAATGATGATTACGACAGTCTTAAAAAGGATCAGTAGTGATGGCGGCGTTTACCTCCATTGATCTTCCCTCAAGGCCTCAGAATCAATACGGAGGCCTACATAAAGTTTCTTGGGGACGTAGTGCTGCCCCCATTCAAATGTGTGACTGCTGGAAGAGTATGTGCCTGGCAACAGGACTCTGCACCATGCCACACAAGCAGAAGAAACCAGTCATGGCGGTCAGGCAATTTCTACGAACGCATCACCATTTACATCTGGCCACCTAATTACCCAAACTGCAACACCCTTGATTATTATGTGTGGGGCGTAGATGAGCGAGAGACCAACAAAATTTATTTTAACACAAAATATGAACTGAAGTTAAGGGTTATGGCAGCATTCACCAGCTTAAACAAGTAGACCTTACTGAAGAGCTGCAGATTTCAAAGTCGTCTGGACGTCGTGGCTGAAGCTAATGTCGACTTTATTGAATATATTTTTGTGTAATTTTGGTAAATATTTCTGTTAAAATGAGATGTAAGTGTTGTTTTCATTTTAGCGTTATTTAGACGACAAATTATCTATCGCACCATATATATATATATACAAGTATAGAATTGGTCTATACGGAAGAAATTCCAATAATCAAAAAATACTGTTCTTAAAAGAACAGAGTAGAGCAAATATAATTTATTCGAAAATTATAACATAAATATGTTATAAAATCACTACAAAATATTCATTGTGTTTCAACACTTCTGGTGTCATATCAAGTGATGGTGTTACATTATATATATATATATATTTATATATATATATATATATATATGAAGAAAAATATGGAAAAACAAAATTCCGATTACGCAAGTATGCTGTTTTAATGTTGTTTCAATGTCGACGTCAGACGTTTCGATCACCCACGTGACGCCGACGTGATCGTATTGCGAAACAGAACGCTTATTTTAAAAATTTCAGTTATTCTGTTTTCATTAGTCTTATGTCTATCGTCTTTTCATGTTGACTTGAATATCGTCTAATTTTAATTATGTTTTAATAACTATGTCCTGAGGAAGGTCTACTAGACCGAAACGTCTGACGTCGACATTGAAACAACATTAAAAAACAGCATAATTGCATATTCGGATTTTTGTTTTTCCATATTTTTCTTCATACTGTCGGATGCACATATTTGCTTACACACACACACACACACACACACATATATATATATATATATATATATATATATATATATATATATATAAAATAAAAATCCACAGTTCCTAGCATTTACGTTTAAGAATATAGTTAATACGAAGTAGAGCAATATATTATAATTTTATTTTTGTTATAAGCCATTATAATAAAAATATTTTGGAATTTCATTAGAAAAACTTTCCTGTTTTAATACCCCGCCTGAAGAAGTACAGTCATAGTACTGAAACATGAAAGCTTTTACGTAGCGATTTTAAAATATTTAGAACACTCTTAATCTTTATTTTTACATAAAAATTATAAAATATGGGAAAAAAATCGGAAATTCTGTGAAGAACATTCCAAATATTAACAAAAGGAATTATTTTTTAACTTTAATGCAAAAAACAGAAGAACTTAAATTTATAAATTTGTGTCGCGATGGAATAATATTTTTAAAAAGAAAATAATCATAATATTTTGCTCTACTGTTTGTATCAAGGACTGTTTTTTTTTTAAAAAAATAATTGCTAAGAACGTAAATCTTACTGTTCATTCTTATTATATATTATATATATATATATATATATATATATATATATATATATATATATATATATAATCAAATCTAGAGAGCCAGACAAACCTACCAAGGTTTCACCTAAGCGGATCGTCAGGGAATGTTGGCTAAAGAGGTAAAGATAATTGTATACTTATAGGCGATAAACAAAATACCAAGACCACGTGACCAAACATTAAAAAAAAATTTAAAAAAAACACAACAATTGGGAAGGTGGGGGAGAAATTTATTCGAAACGGCTTAAAATGGAGGGGGTGATTTAGAGACAAACACGGACAAAAACTGTTAAACATCTATATAATCAGGGGAGATGGGGCCTAATCCAATAACGAAGATCTTCTATGTCTGCATTTGTTAAAAAATCTCTGTTTTAGAATTTAATAAATCTTTAGGTTCCTTATATAAAGGTATGGCTAATTTTCCTCTGTATATAGTTTACGGAATTTTTGAATTTTGAATTTTGGTTGATTACTCGTATCGGGTTTTTTTCTTTGGCCTTTGGACCTGTTTGCTGTACGATTATTTTCGACAGACGTTCATGTTTATGACTCTTTCTTTTGTTAAAACATTTTTTTCCTTCGAGATTGATTTGACTATTAGCAAATCAAGAAACCGAAGGTTTTCCGAGACGTGTGTAGTTACCTATATATATATATATATATATATATATATGCATGCATATATGCAAATTTCGCTGAAAACGATTGATAAGGTGTGGTAGTTGAGTTTTTATATAATTTCTCATGTGTTCGTATATATATATTTTTTTCTTTTCAGGGCATAAATTATATAAAAATTGTCCGGATGTTTTCCAAACGCTTTTGGCTATACTTGTAGGCATTATCAAGGATGAAATTTATTTTATTTTTAACCAAATATATGCAATGTTTTTGCATGTATCCAGAGTTATAGGAATGTTTTATTGTTGTCCAAACACAGGGGAAAATTTTTATAAAATTTCTGTCATGAAAAGAGAAAATTTATACGAACACATTTGAGAATTTTTTGTTGTAGGAGTTTATCAGTCAATGTGGTATGAACTAAACTGTTCAATAAATAGAGTAATGTCGCGCGTCGGATCAGTTCTTTTAAATCAAATATGTAGTGCAGTTCAATTTATATTACAATGAATCATTCATACAAAAGTAGATTAGTAAAGTTAATGATATAAAATGGCGAAAAACATCTTCGCAAACAATTTTAAAGTTGCATTAACCTACGAACCACTCGATGAATGTTATGATCTTTGTTTTTAATAACTTCAAGTTGTATAAGGTCTTTTTTAATCTGCTAGTACTTTCAAATTACCATATTAGAAAAATACGCACTCTCTAAAATTTTAAAAAATTCAACCTTAGCGTTGCGACTGCGCAGTCCATAAGTTCTTATCTGTTAACAATAACACATTTCTCAAAAAAAAAAACATATTTCGATTCGCATTTAAATTTTCGTGTCCACTATTACCTGGATCTACTAAAAACAAAGTAATTTCTATGCCGGAGGATGGCTGAATGTACAGCCGAAAGTACTAGCAGATTAAAAAAAAAGACCTTATACAACATGAAGTTATTAAAAACAAGAATCATAACATTCATCGAGCGATTCGTAGGTTAATGCAACTTTAAAATTGTTTGCGAAGATGTTTTTCGCTATTTATATCATTAATTTTACTAACCTACTTTTTGTATGAATGATTCATGTTATATATATATATATATATATATATATATATATATATATATATATATATATATATATATATAAGAAAATATATGGATATAGATCCGACAGTATGAAGAAAAATATACGGAAAACAAACAAAAATCCTAATATGCAATTATGCTGTTTTAATGTTAATATGTCAACGTCGGACGTTTCGGTCTAATAAACCATCTTCAGGACATATTCATAAAATATAATTAACATTATAAAAAATTTCAGTTATCTGTTTGGATTAGTCTTACTATTATGTCCA